ACTGCTGTTGCTTCGGTGATGTCGCTTACCGGTGATGTAACGTTTTTGGCCACGGTGGGGCTTCCTGGAGGTGGTTTATGTATGTGACAGTAGGTGAATACTCCTGAGGAAGTGGTCCGGGAGGTAAATAATAGCGTGCACAGAAGGTAATTCCTCTTACATTATATATTGTAGACGGAGTAATGGGGAGAATGTATTGGAATGGGTACGTGATTGGTACTTTGACAGATGAATCGGGGTGTCTGAGGAGGGTTGAACCCCCATATTGCTGACTATAAGCTCTCATCTTACAGGCTGTTCATAATCATATAACGTTTCATTTGTTCCCAATGAGATTTGCAGAAATATAAGGGTCAGTCATACATCTTTCTCAACCAGGGAGCCTCGAAATTTTTACACGGCTTCATGCCTCTGATTTGGAGGGGGACTCTTTTGGGATGGGGGGCTTTTGGTGTGAAAAGGGGCCACTAGTGTGAGAGAGGCTACAAGATTTTGGTTGCTGTCACTGAAAAAAATGTTGAGAAATATTTTGGTAGACTTCACACTGATACAATCGCTGAATTTTCGAATACATAAGGGCTATATTGTTACCACTAGGGCTCTGAAATGGTAACAATTGCTTACACTATTTTGCAGAGCATCATAGCACGTAAACATAACAAGGTCTGTTTAATGTTGCCAGCTGCATTAGGGCTGAAGTTATAGTGGACCTTGACCCCCTTTCACTAAAAATCCCATCAGTGTGCAGCTCTGCATGCTGATATAAAATCATCTTTCATTAGTTAAACACACTTGTTTTTCATTTACTTACAAACAGAGATTATCTACTTCCTGGTCCAGTTCTGGCAGAAATGATGTAAGTGCCCAAGCGTTGCATCCTGGGAAGGTTACATCAGCAGAGGATTGCTGGGAAATCTCATCTGTAAAACAAGATCTCAGGGAAAGGCATTTTCCTCCCCTGAGATGATGTGATTGATCACATGTCCTAGTCACTAGTGATGGGCTCGGGCGTAGTCGCAAGCGCCTTGTGCCAAGCCAGCCAGGAAGCCGTCAGCGCGCAGGGCCAATCACAGGCACTGAGACATGTTCCCGGTCCGCAGCTGCAGAGATACATAAAAAGCATGCAAAAAAAAAAAAAGTATGAAAATGCAGATGCACAAGTGTGAAGGGAGGCATAGTAGGGGGGCAAGGGGCAGGGCAATGTACATTATAAGTGTAACTGATCCTGTTCATACATATCACCTTGTTTTTTTTTAATGTGCCTGGTTCATATATATGCATTGCTGCTAATCATGGAGAATAGTTCAGGTAAATGTTTTTGTTTTATTTTTTATCCTGTAAGGGGCCCATAGAAGTGAATGAGAGCACATGAGCACATGAGAACATGATACATGAGTTTTCATGCATTGGAAATGGATGGTTACCGAGACCTGCCCCTGGCAACAAGACGTGTGCTCTTGGTCTAGCTACATTTAGAAAATGGCAGGCTCTTCCCACAACTGCCTAGATACTGAAAACGCGCTATGGAAACTTGCGTAAATGCAATAAAACACACATTAAAAAAAGGGCATGAAAGCTGAAGCAAGCTGGTGTGCCTATGCCTACATACTCAAGATCTCTGTTGATTAGCTGAGCATGAAAAGCAACTCGGATTAGCTTCAACCTTTTTTTTAATGGAATACAAGTGGCAGAAACTGACAAAAAGTCAGTGAGCAGGCAATGAAAAATATTTCTCAACATTTTTTTCAGTGACAGCAACCAAAATCTTGTATGTAAAATCATGAGGCACCCCAGTCTAAAATATAAAAACCGTAAATGCTCCCTCCTAAGTCCATATCAGACTGTTAACCCAGATAGGGATCAAGTATGGATTTAAA